AGAACACTGAATACTCCCCAGAGGTCGAACAGTCGACAAAGTAAGTTATTACAAAACAAGCGAAATATTACAAGATATCACTAGGTATTACAAATCAATGAAGGTGTCATTCTCATTTAATATACAGAAAGGAAATGCTATTTTATCAAATGCAGTAGTGGAAATCAAGCTCTTAAGTAATGAAATAAATACCAATGTTGGATATTATTTTTAGATTGTGTTGTTTTTTTACTTCTGTCAAGCATATTGTTTATCCACGAGGCAACTAATATAATGCTTTAAGGTGATATTGAGCCAAACCCTGTACATAATCCAAAGAGGTTTATTGCAGAGAGTAACACTGAAAATCCATGGTCAAAATTTTAGTAATATGTCTCTTCAAGATATATGAGCTGATGCACTGATCAAACATGCAGTAGCAGATGCATTGAATGTTACTTTCAATATAACAGAATCAAATGAATGATTCGTACTAATCACTATTATTAGACCCAACGTGTGTAGAGGATATTCCTAGTGAAACCAATATTGGCCATCTTAAAGAATTTCATTGTGTCACACAAAGGAACATGCTGCAATCTAGATTTTCGAGTTGAATAGAAAATGAGAATGTTGGTATAGTTATTGACTAAACTAACCTCAATAATGCCATGAGAGGTCTTGAATGTGTTGTTTTGGTTAATAACCATGATCAATTGYAAGTCTTACAACCATCTGATCTTGTTGTAAGTTTATTAAAAATGTATGCAGCTTCACAGATGAAATTGATTGCATGGCAACTACATCTTTTACTTTTTTTGTTGTTCATCACTAGTTCAATTATTCACTCAAAGACTCTTGCCATTTTCAAATCACAAGTCAACCCTGAAAGCAGGGTCTCGTTAAATTTACAATGAGAACTGTGATGTTGGTATTTTCTATTCCCTTTTCCAAGGACTGCTGGAATCTTCCTAAAGCTAAAGGCATTACATACCCCTTAGACGAATAAAGCAGATTTACTCTAGTTTAGTCCATCTTAACGAGCTATGCAATAATTGCATTTTTTTCTAAATACTTGCTATATCGGGGGTGTATTACCTTGAGGGATATTTGCCCAAATAATTTCGACGTAATTATCTCTGTCAGGACGGGACTGTTCATGGTAGAACCCAAGACAATGACCTATTAAACAGAAAATTGAATCATAAAAATGTCAAATAAACTTCCGGGTTTAACGCCATTACAAAATAAACTTCGTCGAGTTTTTAAATAATGGAATTTATTACTCATTAATGCTCATCGCAAACCTATAAGGGGAAAATTTTGTATTGAACAAATCAAGAAAGATCAGAAATTGTGATAAGAGTTGTACGTAAAGTTTCAAATRGAAAAAGCGAGTGCAATAACCTATTTATGCCACTTCAAAAATATTCAGACAYATTGGTATACATACCAATCTCATGAGAAACAATACTTTGCTGCCAGCATCCTCTTGCCAAAGAAATCATTTGTCTTCCGCCAACTGGACCGACATACGAAGAACAACTGTAAATTACAAAAAAGACAAAATATTYTATCTGATATATGTTGAAGTACTCCAAATTTACACAACTGATTATTCTGATGGAAAGTGTCCATATATCGGTAGACGAATGTTCTATGAATATAGTATCTTTTACTACATACCCTCCTCCAATGTAAAAATGAGCATAGTTTCTCTCGTTTGTTCGTGGCTTGAATCGAACACAAGTTGAGTCTGTCCAAAGCTTCATTCCAGCACGAATAGCCGCCATTCCTCTAGGATCATTAGCTTATAGGGGAAAAAA